ACGTCTTGCTCCAGGAATATATCTTGAAGGACTTCTAAATCCCACGTCCTAGTTTCTGTCATAAGGCCATTAATAGTAGTTTCGGTCAGTTCTTCTACCCATGGTGTGATTAACGGTCCGCACGCTGCATCTGCCACCCAGGGATGGCGCCATATGAGAGTGTTCTTGCCATCACCCACACGCCGCATAGCTCCTACCCGAAGGATATTCTGACCCGCATGGATACTCCGCCATAGATAGCTAGGATTATGCCCGATCTGGGCATCCAGGAAGCAGCTGTTTGGAAAGTACTTTGCCTTCAGAATAAGACTCACCAGAGATGACGACTTAGAGAGAACCCGCCACCCTTGTTTAGCCACAAGAGCTACGTTGAATTCGTGTAGTCGTCTGAAGCCCATTCCCCCAAACTGCTTCGGTGTTGCCAATCGATACCAGGAAGTCCAATGTATGCCTCTGCCATTATTGTTACCGTTCTCCCACCAGAAGCGATTCATGATCTTCTCAATCGTGTCACATGTGCTCTTAGGAAGTAGAAAAACTGACATGGCAAAAATTGGCATAGCCTGTGCTACGCTTTTCAACATTATCTCTTTCCCAGCTCTTGACAAAAGTTTCGTATGCCACGTACTAATGCGTTCTCTTACCCGCTGCTCAATATATCTGAAAACCGAAGTTTTGTTCTTGCCCAGGAAGGATGGCAGACCCAAGTACCTCCCGAAATCGGGCACTTGTTGCACTCCGAAAAGAGCTGTCACATGTTCCTTAGTGTCAGATGAAGTATTGGGGCTAAATAAAATACTTGATTTGTCATAGTTGACTGCCTGACCTGACCATCGGCTATACAAGTCTAAACACCTGCGGACAGCTTGGGCCTCCCTGACATTTGCCTTGAAAAAAAGCATGCTATCATCGGCGAAGAAGAGATGTGATACCGGGGGGGGCTTTTCTGGCCACTCGAACGCCATGAATGTTGCCTCGTCGTTCCTCCTGCTGCAAATGCAAGGATAAACCTTATGCACAAACTATGAACAAATATGGGGACAACGGGTCCCCTTGACGAATCCCCCGTGTCGATACAACAGTTCCCGCTGTAGTTCTGTTCACAATAATGTTGTATTTCACGGACGTCACGCATAATAGCACGAGGTCAACCTACCCTCGGGCGAACCCCAACGCTATCAGCATTCCCCTGAGAAAGGTCTATTCCATCAGATCGTATGCTTTCGCCATGTCGATCTTCAGTGCAGCCCAACCCATGTTGCCAGCGCGCTTGCCCCTTAAATAGTGCCCCACCTCTCCGGCAACTATTATGTTATCAGTTATGAGGCGGTCTGGGATGAAAGCGCTTTGAGAGGGTGATATCACAGCTTCTAGAACTTCTTTCATTCTGTTGGCCACAACCTTTGCAAGAACTTTATAAGCCACATTGCACAGAGCAATGGGCCGTAAATCCGAGACGCGTTCCGGGCACTTCTTTTTTGGAATTAACACTACATTTGCGTCGTTCAGACCCGGCGGCATGCTGCAGTTCTGGATACATGTCTTGACAAATTCGCACAGATCACCTCCCACAATCGACCAACAATTCTGGTAAAAGGAAGGCGACATCCCGTCTGGACCCGGTGCTTTGTCTGGCGCCATTGAGAACAGAGCTGCTTTGATCTCCTCATTAGACACGGGCTTTGTCAACTGCTCGTTCATCTCCTGCGTAACTCGGCACGGCACCCTGTTCGACAGATCTTCTCCATTGGTAGTGGACGAAAAGATGTCCGTATAGTAACGCAAAATTTCAGTGTGCAATTCCTCATTCTCGACCCAGTCGCCCGTTGGATTCCGGAGACGATTCAACGTATTCTGGGAGCGCCGACTTGACGCCATCTTATGAAAAAATTTTGTATTATGATCCCCTTCACAAAGCCATAACTGTTTGGATCTCTGACGCCAATACACTTCCTCCTGTGTTAAGAGTCCACGCAGCTCATTCTCCACCACCCTGTACTCTGCTATATCTTCGACATCCCTACTGCCTCGTAGCGTCTCAAGACGATTTTTCAAACTCTGTATCCTCCTTCCAAATTTTCTGTACAACTCCCCTCCCCAACGCCACAGATCCTTTCCACAGCGCTCAATCCGTTGCTGGAAACCAAGGCCTCGAGAAAAACCCCATGAATGTTCCACCACTTTCTTGCAGTCCTCGTCCAAAAGCCAGGCGGCCTCGAACTTGAAGTGTCTGGCTGTTCGGCCAACTGGCCGTCCCTCCAGAGTAAGAAGAAGAGCACTGTGATCGGAATTCAGAGTCCACACGTTTTGCACCGACGCCTCCGTGTATAATTCGCACCACACTGACGATGCTACCGCTCGGTCGAGGCGTTCTTCAACCCAGTGTTCCGTGCCTCGACCCTTGCTCCATGTAAATTCGTAACCTGTCATGCCAAGATCAGACAACCCGCAATCGAGTAAAGCCTCGTTGAAGCCTCTCACGAGACTGTCCGGATGAGGAATTGGACCCTTTTTCTCGGCATGGCTAGCTAAATCGTTGAAGTCTCCGATCACTACCCAAGGGAGATCATATCGGTTCCTCAACTCCCGTAATAGATCCCATGACTCAGCCCTCTTCGACCGATCAGGATGACCGTAGAAGCCTGTGAGACGCCACGGATCTGTTCCTGGTAATGAAACCTCGATATCAATATGCCTCCGCGAGTAACTGAAGAGTGTTGCCATCTCGTTCACCCGCCAAAACATAGCCAAGCCACCACTCAATCCCACTCTATCAACACAAAGTAAACCTTCAAGACCCAATTTCACTCTGACATGTTCTAACCGCTCTGCACAAAGTTTAGTTTCCATTAAGAACACTAGACTGGGTTGCTTCTTGGACACAAGGTCCATTAATTCGCAAACTGTCCGGGAGCCACCCAAACCCCGACAGTTCCAGCTCAGTAGACTCATTGTGCAGGGCGAGTCTGACCTGTCAGACCCGTTGAAGTTGAGTTTTTTGGGTGCTCGCACATCACCACGTCCCTGTCTTCCAAACTGCCTTCCCTTCGCCTTTTCAGATCCCCCTGTAAACCGCTACTCTTCTCGGCCGCACTCACATCGTAAACCTTCTCCCCCGCCACAATAGTCGATGTAACCGGCTTCTCATGTGGTAAGTCGGCCAATATCCACCTCGCCCCGACTGGCCGAGCCTGACGACGAGCCCCGGCTCGCATCCACCCGCCATAAGGGAAAGCCTCAATAGTGACTCCCTCTTCATAGGTGAGCTTACAGAATTTCTCAGAATGGCCTAGTATCCCACAACAGAAACAGAAGGTGCCTAATCGTTCGTATTTAAAACTCACCCAGTGTGTAGAGCCATCCTTCCGGGATAGTTTCATTCGTCGTTTCAGGGGGGTGGCCACATCTAATTGTACTCTGGTCCGGTAGAAGCTACGCCATACACCACCAAAGTTATTAGGATCGGCATACAGGAACGTACCGACATAATCGCCAATGCGAGCAATGAAATCTGACGACGCGTAGATCGTGGGGAGATCATGGATCTGAATCCAGATCTCGACTGTGTTGAGCGGCACATCCTCTGGTTGAACGCCATTCGGAACCTTACCGCAGATAAGCATGTGATTCTCAAACGACCATGGTCCGTCGTCCAAGACACGTTGCCTATCCTTCGGATGCGGGAATTGGAATAAGAACAGGTTGTCAGCGATCGGAAGAGCGCGCATGCCCATGACCGGACGCCAAACTGAGGCTAGCACCTGCTGCATGTGATCAAATTTGATCAACCGATCCGTCAAAAAACGTCCCACTAATTCGTGGTGTGATGGCGTCAGGACCGTCGGGTTGATATCCGGCGCTTCCATGCCACCGATCTCTTCTTCCGCCAAGGACAAAACGGCACATCTTTTCTCGATCTCACTGGAATCCATGATCGGAAACCGAGGGGATAAACATTGGATGATCGGTAAATCGTAAGCGTAGTATGTGTATGGATGGAGGTGAAAGGTACAAGGAACGCATGCAACTAGATATATGAAAACAACGTGGGCAATCATGGGGTGACATGATGGATAAAAAACTGCCATAGTGGGATAAGGAACCCTAGAAATCTAGGGAGAAAACTCTCTAAGCACTACCTAGAGAGAGAACCACGATGGGGAGTAGGAGTTCAACTTCGCCATATTATTATTATTGTTGTTGTTGTTGTAATTTATTCCATAATATGTTTTTTCTTTTTTTTTTTTCTTTGCGCACAACAACATTTTAACACCTTATTATTAAAAAAATATACGGTATTAATTTTTAAAAATTATGATTTTGATAGGACCTCATTTATTTATCAGAACAGGACTACAAAAATCTAAAAATCGGACTTTGTTGGGGATTCAACCTTTTGAGAAGAACGATTGATGTTTGACATCATGTTACCTTCCCAAATTGGGCCTTTGTTTTTATTGTTTGGGCATGGGAAACGAACCCAAAAATTAGCTAATTAAGATTTAATAAATTTCTTAAAGAAATATTAAAATAAATAAAAATATGAGTTAAAGTAAATTGAGATGTCAACTACTCATTTTCAAAACAAAGAAGTATAATGTCCATATGTATACCTTATCACACATATCTTGTTTACCAAAGATTTATTGAGTTCCACTTAGATACGCCACACAAGTTACGAAACAAAATCCAAAAACAGACTAAACTCCAAATACACTCACCCAAACTTATCAAACTTGCCTCATAATATTAATTCAAGGTTATTAAGTGAATAAATAAGTAAATAGCTTAAACAACTTAGTGGACGTTCATAGAAGAAACTTAGTAGCAACTAGCAAGAGTGTTAAATTATGAAGTAAAAATATATTTTACTCGTATTTTTTAAAATATATATTCTGGTGATTGGGAATTCAATCTTTTAAAAACAACAATAATAATGCCAGGAAGTAAAATTTATATGACAACAAAAAAGATAGTTACATATATTGTTGTCCAAAATCTCCAAATCCCAAAAATGATAAACAAATTCATAATTGACTTGACTTTTAATTTACATCCAAAGCGGAGAGAGAAAGAAGGCAATCCCACTTTTTTTTTTTTTTTTTTTTTTCCTTTTTTGAATATGCAATCCCAACTTTTTTTTTTGATAATACAATCCCAACTTTCTAATCACTCCATTGAAGACCAAACCTCGACACATATAATCATACTATGATACTAAACCCCAAAACTTGTTCCAAACAACCTAATTCTTTTATACACACTTTGTTTTAGACCGACCAGTAAAATCGCAATCACAAACTATTTGGGAGTGTGCACGGGATATACACGCTTGTTTTGATGCGATTAATGATGGATTTCATCATCTGATCTGATTATTCTGATCCTACTTGAAATGGATGGTGGGAGTTTACATAATAGAGCAGACGGAGGGTTGGTAATCATGAACTGGGCAAGCGTAGTAAGGGGGGTAAGGAAAGTGAGAAGGATCCTGGAAGACTGTAACGACTTTTGGTGGTTGGGCCTCGTCTTTCTTCTTATCCTCCTTCTTCTCCTCCTTTTTCTCTTCCTTTTTCTCGGCCGAACCCACGCTCACTAGCTCCGCTTGCCCCACCCTCTTCCTCAGCAGGTTCGCCAGAACCACCGAGTCGAACTCGCCCACCACCTCTAACTGCCCCTTCTCCGCTTGCATAGCCGCCGATTCAACCCCTGCAGGAAACCACAAAACTTGCCGGTAAAGACCAGTACTTGGTGAAAAATGTGATGACGGTCTATAAAGAAATAAAGTTATGCGTACCAGGCAGGCTGACGGCAATCTTGAAGGCCTTGGTACGAGCCTTCTGGTCCTTGATTGAGATACCGATCACTACCTTTTGCTGCAAATTAAACAAACCAAAAAAAGGTCAACAAATTTAAACCAATCGACCACACAGATGGAGAGCAGAGTTCTACTGATCTATATATTAACAAGAAATAAGAGAATATGAAATGGATCATACCTTCCCCATTCTTTCTGCAGGCAGGGTAGAGAGATAAAGCGGCGAAGAATAGAGAATTTAGAGAGAGAAAGAAGTATGGATGGAGCTACTACTCTGTTTGAGTCTCAGTTTAATTGGCAAGTGTATATATAGTGAAATGTTTCTGGGCAGGGACGTGTAAATACAGAGGAATTTTCTTAGAAGTCAGCCAGTCCACAGGCTGCTAACCCACCACGGATATTTATATTACTTCCACAAACAAAAGACATTTTTTTTTTCTGGAATGATCCAATTTTCTACCTTGTTAACCCATCTGCGAATTCACGAGGAGATAAATCGAGTCAATCCACTTTAAATAATACATTCTTTGTACGCCCTTTCGGTCGAATTCAATTCTTTGCACATGATTACGAATATAATTCTTATTATCAACATCCTCTTGAACAAATACCTCATATATGATATGCAGTTTATCTTCTCTATATGGTTTGCGAATTATTACAAGAACAAAAGTTTACTTTGTACACACTCTTAAATAGTTATTGTGGAATTTTCTTATTAAAAAAAAAAATTAAAAAAATGACATATGATGCATGGGGTGTTTATCATTAATTCATTATATTGGCTCTATAGATTATTACCGAAAATAACAATAAACAATAAACAATAATCTATGTTATTCATTATATCATGCAAAATTTCATTAATACCCTCCCATTTAACAGACTTTAACTCCTAATCTAACAGATGACTAAAATGGTTAAAATTTTCAAAGTCAAAAACTTAATTGGGCAACAAAAATTGTCAAAGACTAAATTGATAATTTCACAATAGTCGATGAACCATTTCGGTAATAAACTCTTAATTTAACCATCCAACAATCTTAAAATTATTATATTTGTTGTAAATTCGGCCTATTAGTTCAATCTGTTGAGACTGTTCTAGTGTTATAATATCATATATGTGTGTAAAAAAAATATTAAATATAATTTTGAGAATTCATTCTTCCAAAGGCTGAATCCAACCCTAATAATTTTGAGAATTCATTATCATATTATTAAAGGAGCCAAGTTAATATAGAAGGCGAAAGGTCAAATAATAATTTTGAGAATTCATTCTCATATTATTAAAGGAGTCAAGTTAATATAGAAGGCGAAAGGTCAAATAATATTTATCAATCATCATGCTTTGTTATTGTTTTGAATACTATTGCACTACAAGATCCTTGACCTTTAAAAATAATGTTGTTTATCTCTAAAATAGTAAATGCCTTGAGAATAATGTAATAGTGAAACTTTATGTAGTATATTTGTTATTGCCCCATTTTAACTCAAACATATAACCTCCTATTTAGAAGAGTCACTTATATGCCACTTGACCCTTTCTTTCTTCCTAAACTTTACAGATTTCACTTCTACTTCCTTGCAACACACAAATAGAGGAAGCTATTTCCTTCAAGCTGGCCACTAAAAACGCATTTTAGTTTTTTTTTTTTTTTTTTTTTTTTTTTTATCTGTATTAATATTTTTCTTGTAATAATATATTTTTTAGTGAATAGTAAGATTGCCTTTAAATTTATAATACACTATTTTTGTGCCAACAAAATTTGATTTTTTATTTCCACTGCGATACATAAATTTATATAAAATATAATATAAAAATATATAATATATATCATAAATTTTTTTTATAGAAAGTTATAATATGAATCATGAATATTAATAAAAGACAATGAAATTTATAAGTGTATTTTCAATTTATAGTTTTAATGATTATTATACACTTTTTAAAATAAAAAATAATCTATTAAAGTCATTAAAGTTAAAGTGTATAAATAGTTTCTTGTGATATAAAACTTTTATAGATTTCTATAGAATCTATAAAAGTTTGAAGAGATTTTATAAGTTTTTTAAAATTTATAAATGTTGATCCTGAACAAGTAAAAGTTCAAAAGAAGAGAGTCGATTGAGTAGAGTTTTAAAAACATTTTTTAATAAGTACAATTATTAAAGTGTTTGACTAAAGTCTTAAACTTGTCAAATGTTTTGTTGTGACTAAGGATTTTATGTACTAATACGATATTGATACAAGTGAAATGCATGCTTCTACACTAGTTGCAGACCTAGCCAACTATCTAGGTAACTTGCTATCTCCTTGTAAATTTCGAGCGCCAAAAATTTAATTTCACTTTAAAGCTATATGTTGGCGCTCTCAGAGATGATAGGTGCCCGAAAAGCTATTATCTCCCCTTTTTACATTGCACACCATTAACCTTTTGGTATTAGCAAATACATTTTTAGTGAATTAAAAATTATTATTTTACCCCTAAAAGTAACTTTGTAGTTATTTTGAACCTATTTTGAAGTCAAGAATCTTGAGAAATGTACTCAATAGTTCTTTTTCTCAAAGACATTCTTTATTCCTCGTACTAAACTTATAACATTTCATTCACTCTAATTTACAAAGTCTATTTCCCTAAATTTTGCATCTTTCATCCACATGGTGAGGATTATTCAAACTTACCGACATAAATGCTTCAAACAATCATTACCACTTAGTTTTTTTTTTTTTTTTTTTTTTTTTTTTTTTTTTTTACAATGGAATAAGCTATAAAAATATTATACTTAACACTATCTCTTTATTAAAAAATTCCTCCATATATATGATTATTAAGAAGAAAAAGATATGCATATTTTTTTTTTGAAAGCAAAAGATATGCATATTTATTTTCTTTATTATTCATTTAATCATAATATAATTTTCATGATAAATTAATTTAATTATAATAAGTTAGTTATAAATATATTGGAGTACCACCCGAGATTACACTAGTTCATTATATATAATGGAGTATATTCATTAGAAATGATATATAAATTCTTGTTTTAAGTAATAATTAGAATTACTTTCCTAAAAAAAAAAAAAAGTAATTAGAATTACTAATTAATCATTAGTGCATCAATAAATTATTATAATTATAGTTTGGATAAAAGTTTTACATACCAAGAAAAATCAAATTTATTATGAATGAAAAATTCATAATTAAATTAATGAAACGTAAAAGTATTTAATTTATTGACAAATTTAAACTAATAAATCAAAGAAATCTGTAAAATATTTTAGTGTTTTTATTTCGTATAGTGTTAGTCTGTTAGACATAAATTGACTCGGAACACTGAAGGCTCTGAAAATAGCACCTTGAGTCCTTGACCTCTTATTGTCTTATAAATTATATATTATAATCTTGTAATAAATTTCATTTTCGATTAATTAATTTCAGTTTACATCATCATAGACCAAGAATTGAAAGAAATATATCAATGTCATAGTAATTAATATACTATTCCCACTGGCATCAAAGTGAAATGCTTATTAATCAGGCCAGTCACATGTGATACATATTACTTGCACTATTAAAAATTATTCTTAAATAGTGTTTGTGGCTTTTTTGTTATTTAAAAAAAAAAAAAAAAAAAAAAAAAAAAAAAGAAGAAAACACCCTTACACTTGTTGATCGCTCATCTCAAATAAAATAAGAGATTCAAATTTTGAGTAATTTAACATCAAAATTTTACCTTTGTTTAACCTAGAAAGTTGTAGCTTCTTGAATTACCTTTGTAACGACGTATATTTTGAATAACCTCAATCAGAGTATTGTACATGTTATGCATGCCCAAAGCCTCATGATGTGATCAAAACTACATGAATAAATATTATAGCAAACTCAAAAACTTGTATGAGACGGTCTAATGTGAGACTGATCCGATCTCAAATATGTTAATACTTTTTAGTAACAATATAATAATCTTATATTGAGACAGATGCTAGTGAGATAGCCAGTTATATAAATAATAATACACCCTCAATGTCTGTGGTTCACAACATCCTCCAGGCATGCAAGAAAGAACTCCGTACTTTCGAAGTATGGCAAGTAGTTGTAGCCACCCTAGAACAAAACTGTGTTGCAGACTTCCTTGCAAAACTGGCTAGACACCTCCCTAAGGGCATGAACATTTTTACGAGACCACCAGACGAATTAGTGGGCGTTCCCGAAGATGACCATCATGGTTTACCTCATTTACGTAGTGTGTATAATGTACTGTAGCTACTTTTGTCATTCCCTGGGTTTACCCCTTCCAAAGTAAATAAAAAAAATATAATAATCTTATGAGTCAACAATTATTACATTTTAACTGAAAATTAAATATGAAATCTGTGACATGTGAGATAATGGACTTACAATAGGATCAAATCTATGACCTCCTATTTAGAGAGCCACGTCATTGGCAAGGCCTTCCGATATACTACTATATCTTTTTGATGGTGTAAAATCACAAATTTATAGTGAAATTAAAGATGGAAAGTCTTTGACATGTAGGTGTGTTGAAAAGTATGCATGGGAGGCGACTTTGAGTCAAGTCCGATCCGTGTGAAACGGTCGAAGAGTATAACGTCGTTAACGTGGGGCACAAGACCAAGAAAGGTACGTACGTGGTCTCCAAGTTTGCACGTTTGATTAATCAACCTTCATATTTGATTATTTGCTAACCCCATTAGGAGACTTTGAATTTTTTTTTATTTTTCAAAGTCTACTCTTGATAACTATACCATTAAATGTCGAAAGTAACCCCCCCCCCCCCCCCCCCCCCCCCCGGCTCTATAATAATAATAATATCTCAAGTTTTTATTTTCTAAATTTGTGATGAAGCTAAGTAAATAAGTAATTCATAAAGAATCAACAAATATACATTAATTATGGGCCTTATGGCATAGATTAATTATATCTTAATCATTAAATAAAATATTTGGCACGTATAGTATCCGAGATTTGGTTGAAGCTTAAAAAGAAAAAAACACTTTTTTTATTTATTTTCTAAAAAATGAATATAATATGATTCTTATAGAATTTTAATTATTTTAATAATGATAATAATATAAATTATATTAAAATAAAGTTATAAATTAATTTTTATATAATTATAAAGATTAACAATAACTATAATAAGCAAATGTAAGCATTTTTATTTTATTTTTATTATAAGGAAGGGGATACCCTACATATACACACTATTACCTCAATTGAGATTCAAACCTTACACCTCCCACTTAGGGGAGCAACCCGATACCAATAGACTACAAACCACTTGATAAATGTAAGCATTTTGTTTTTACTTGTAACGTAACTTATTATATTAAAAATAAATACAAGTGATAAATATGATAATGCAGAATTAAAGAAACTGAAGAAAAACTCTTAATTGAAAAAAAAAAAAAAAGGAATAAATTTTCGAGTTATGGGTTAGGTGGTGCCAAGATTTATATACATATGCATGCACTATCAAACGTTTTATAATGTACTGTCGTAATTATAAAAAAATCACTAAAGCCTTTTTCTTAATTTTCATCCCTTAATCAATCCAGTTAAATGGATAAAATTAATCTATAATTTTTATATGAGGTATGTGTTCTTACTTGAACTTGTTAATGTGTGTATATGTATGTATATCTATATATAGTGGGATAAATCTAAAGTCATATTCACCTAGAAAGCTATTAAGCCAAGGATACAACAGTATTCACACAAGTCGCAATTAGAGTGTTTGTGGGAGCAGACAGCAGACAAATAAAATTTGTAAATTTGTTTGCCGTGATTCAAATGGCCTAGACAAAAAAGTCAATAGTGTAAAGTGTTGAAGGGGTTGGCCAATCAAAATTCACTTCACTATTAACATCCATTTCAAATTTTATAGATTACATGAGTCGTCATGTTAGATCTAAATATATATAATCTAACATACAACGAGAAACCTAACTTTAATTTGTAGTAGTGGAAGCGAAAGTCATGTTGATATCCAACCATAGTTGATATCTTGTTGTGTTGCCTTTTGAGCGGTAGACCTATTGAATTGAATAACGTTAGTGGTTGACGGGTTGATATTTTCTGAATAGTATGAGTACTATAATTTTAGGGGTGCTATATATTGTATATCATGTATCCTATCAAATACAGACTTTATATATGCATAATGGTGAAATACAGACTTACCCTAGAAGGCCAGTCCAACCAAACTACTTAATGAGCCTCGTCCACTTGCACCACATAAGTAAGACCCATAATATATACTATATATTATACGGAAAAATTTTACAGTCTCCCACTTGATGCAAGTACTAGCACAACTCTCATCAAAGAACAAAACAATGAATCATAGTGATATGTCTTCTATTTGAAAGAGTAATATCCTCTCACATGCATTTTTATTCTCCAACCTAAGTCTTTTATGAACAAACTCAACATTTATTCTTGGTACCTTAAGGGATATGTTGGTCCCGAATAGGTGGTGAAAAACCTAGAACATACAACTAACACTTTATCAAAATTAACTCCAAATGAATTATTAGACTAATAAAAATCTAACTTAGAGTTCAAATCATAATAAATGTACGTAAAGTGCTATATTAAAAAATAAGTGTTAGTGAAGTAGTTACTGATTTACTGCATGCATGCAATATGATAGAAATGTATCTAAGCTGATTGTGAAAGCAGAGATTGTGTATGTAAAGCAAAATGTACGTGAGAACAATATGTAAATGAAAGAGAGAGAATTTTTATAGTAGTTAGAAGGTGGTGTAATCTTTTACTCCACTTGAGTTTAGATCTTCACTTGATCTTTGCTTGTGTTGCCAAGCTAAAATATTGCTTCCATGTTTTGCCTTTGTTGCTAGGTTGATTTTGCCATGCTAAAATATTGTTTCCATGCTTTGCCTTTGTTGCTGTTGCTATTTCACACTTGTAGTGATGAGTGCTAATTTAGCTGTTGCTATTTCATAGATTTATTTTTTTTTTAATGGATGTGATGGGCTCTCGTGGATTTACGGAGGTTCGGTTCTCATATGATCTCTATAATATGTGTATATATATATATATATATATATATATATATATATATATATATATATAATATTAATTTTATCTTCTAATACATGTAAGGCTGTAATAAAAGTTATTTAAATTGATTAATTGATACAAGTAAATCGGGTAATATAATATAGAAGTTTCAATTCTGTGTTATTGTATTTAAATTAATTTAAAAATAAAAATTAATTAAGAATATCATATATATTAATAGATATGAAATGCAATTTATTCCAAGTTTCCAACCATTTCATATTAAATTTTATTATAAATATTGTTTATCATATTTTAAAGTTATTTAATTTTTTGTCTCAAGTAAATGAAATTTCAGTCTTCCTCCATGGCTTTGGAATATAAGTTTTAATTTGTGAGGTATCCTGGATTGATACATTGACTTGCCAATGCAAATTCTTCGTCAAAATGTATATTAAATGTTAGGATAAAGTTACGACCAAAATTCTTCGTCAAAATTTTTTACGACAATAAAACTTTTTTTATTTATTGGTTATCATGAATTAGTCAATCATACATTGAGTTAAAAAAAAATGATTATAATGATATTGCCTCGAGGTGAAAGATTTTGATAAAAATAAAAAATAAAAACAAAATTTATCCATGTGTCATGGTCTTAAATGTTATTCACTCCAATCGTTATATGCCTAATTTATACAACTAAATGAGTATTTGGTTGAAGTATTAGATTCCGAATCAGAACCAAAACTCGGTAATTAGAATCAATTAAATAAATAGAAAGAACATAAACACATTTTTTTGAGGGGTTATGCCTTTGAAGAGATTTAGGGTGTGTTGGTTCGCAAATTAGAAATGAAATCGGAATGGAAATCAAATACTTGGTAATGGTAACGAGTTTTGGTGAAAATAGTTTGCATTTTTGGTAATAGGGTGAAATTGGAATAATTATCAATATTGTTGTTTGGTTATGTATGATCCTATAATGGGAATAAATGTTTTAAAAATACAAAAACAAAAATCAAGATAATTTATTCTAATATAAAGACATCTAAAGCACGAATATGAACAAAAAAAATAAAAACAAAAATCTAAAAAATCACTAATCCAAACATAAAATTCAAATTGCCAATTAGGAGGGAAAATAATGGAATGAAACCCTTATTTTATTAGAGAATGAGATTTTTTTAATTAAATGGGTAATCAAATCTTATAGTAGTGTTCTAGAAACCTATCAATCAAACAATAAGAATAACTTTGATTCTCATTCCTGATAGTTAAACTCATGAACCAAACCCACCCTTAATTTTAATATTTTCTCTCCACTTTAAATAAAGGTACTCCGTATTATTCTTTAAATCAATAAAAAAATCAAGAATGTTGTTATGTTTTACCGGCAATCAATAAATCAATTCGAATCTTAACTATAATATAGTCATATAGTTTGGTGAGCAATTATTATATTATAGTTAAAATTTATTTATTTATTTAAGATTTATTTATTTATTTATTTATTACATGGTGCATAAAAATTCAAATTAACCTTAATTCATTTTCATCTCTCTTGCCTCATCCAATCCATCCAAAAACTCACAAATAAACTTCAATTGAGATTATTCTAATGAGGTCAATCTTAAAAATTTAGTACATAGTGTTTAATATTACAAATTTTCAAGAACGTAGTAAACTACAATAGTAATTGAATTACAATTTTCAGAGTCACCACAGATCAAAATTTTTAGACCTTTGAGATTTCTAACAATTTTCAGAGTCACCACGGATCTAATTTTTTAGACCTTTTAATATTTCAAATTTTCAAGAACTTAGTAAACTACAATAGTAATTGAATTACAATTTTCAGAGTCACCATAGATCAAAATTTTTAGACCTTTGAGATTTCTAACAATTTTCAAAGTCACCACGGATAAAAAATTTTAGACCTAAAAATTTCTAGAATTCTCAAAAGTCTAAAAATTTTGATCCGCGGTGACTCTGAAAATTGTAATTCAATTACTTTTGTAGTTTACTATAAGTTCAATTCTTAAAAATTTGTAATATTAAATACTATGTACTAAATTTTTCATATAATTTAATATTTGTAGTAATCACCCACCTTAAATACCAATTCTTATTTTAATTGTAAATATATTTATGTTCATAATTTTATCATAGCAATTCACACATAATTATTAAATAACAAAATTTTTATATATGAATAAACCTTATATATGGTATATTTTTATAACATACTTTCCGTGCATCGCACGGGACAAATACTAGTGTATAATATAATATATTAATTAAACCATTTCAAGTGGCATTAAAAAAAAAGTGATGTTATCCAAGTGAAGACTCGAAAGAATTTCATACATCATTATTAATAAAGTATGCTATTAATAAAGTGAAGGCTCTT